CATGGTACCTCCAAAGCATCTGCTTAAATATCTTTAGAAAGTATAAAGTGAAAGTCATGTAGGACCTATAATTTCTCTATAGTCTCTTAAGTGAAGAGTAAAACTTCTGAAAAGGTTTAATTCGGTTTCAACTGGTTCAATGGAAAAGTGTAAAATGCAAGGAAAAAGAAAAGTTACAGAAATTAACTAGGAAGTCCAGAGCAAGTGGTCCACAAAGTAATTCCTTTCACACTCCCACCACCAGTCTGTTCTCCAGACTATGAGGAAAGTAAAACTGCTTAGAAAATGTATTTCATAACCTGGCAGTAGAGGCTTTCATCCAAAGCCATGATAAATGCCTCGTTTTTCAAATGGCAAGTGACACGTTGATACAATGCAACAACCTCTTACACTACATAATGCTACACAACATCAATGAGATATAAGAAATGGAGACTACCTTCAGATTGAGAGAAAAATTGAATGCTAGAAAACAAAACCCACTTTTTACTGAACAACATTCCATTATATAAACTGGAATAATCCCGATTGCTTCTATTTCAAACAACTTCATGCAGAGAAGTCAGGTTAGGCAATGGAATTCTGCATCTGCACCAGGTTTTTACCCCAAACAACAGAGGTGAAAAGGTGAATAGCAGAGCAAACCTGGGCTGCTAAACCAATTAAGCCTCTCTTGAAAAGGAATCCAAAACAACAGCAAGAAGTCGGATACTACAAAGTATCCTTTCCAGAGGGATTTCATTACACTTGGCTTTCTTCCTGGGCTGGGGTCCAGGAATATCAGCACTGCCTTACTTCTTTTCAAAAAATAAATTGCTTTCATAATGTGCACCTTGTGCACTGCATTGAAATAGACAATCCTTAATCTTGACTTTTTTCTTCTGTTCTGATCTCTCTTCCCTGAATAACATGAAACTAATTTTTAAACCTTTTATCAGAAGCGTGAAAACTTGTGAATTCCAAACAAAAATCTTACAAAAGGCAGAAAGACCTTTTCTTGCTAGTTCAGGGAGGTGTACCCACTTTATGAGGTACATCAAGGAGCGTACAAAAACCCTAAGACAATCACAGACCCACTGAAAAATGGTAAGAGTAAAGCCTAACCTCTACTGAAGTTCAGCTCGGGAATTCTTCATATACACTGTGGGGAAGGAAGGACAGAGATACTCAAAGAAATCCCCATTCAATAGAGAAGTCAAAGGCTTTTCTTTCAGAAAAAAAGTGTGTATCTAAATACTTTAAAATTACTCCTTTGATGTGCCTTTTGACTGCTTCCCTACCCCAGGGGAAAGCTCTCTCGCCTTTTTATCCTCGTCACTACACTCACCACGTCTGACTTAGATCATGTCTAATGGCAATGATCTGGTGAGTCTGATCTGACTTCAACCAATACTGAGAGAGGGTAATTTAAATAAATATAGTATTTATGTCTTTGTGATTCAGAATCATGAGAATCTAGTAGATAGATCCCTCTTTATTACCAGATGCCCATCTGGAAGATGCTGTTTTATTTGGCTTTTTAGATGACGTTAAGTGGCTTCTGGAAAACATAGGTTTATTTGGGAAACTTTGAGCACTGTCATACCTTACCAGGCAGATTAAAATCTTTGAAAGGTATTTTTAACCTCTGCTGTAATCTCTGCTTTGCAAAGGATGCCCAAAGGAGACCATGGTATTTTCACAGAGGCCACCACAGATTTGGCTATAGTCCTGGGTGCATCCAATTCAGCTTTCAAGGCCAGTCTAGACCCACTTCAGCTGTTGAGCACAGCCGTGCCTGCTGCCTTCCCAAAGCAGGGGACATCCTCTCCTATATTCACCTGCTCACAGGAGAGCCTGTGACTCTGGGTGTGGACTGACATCAGGCCAGAGTGGATTTAGCGCTCAGCCAGGAGGGCAGCCAGGCACACACTCCTTCAGGTCTTCTGAGCTGTCCTGACCCAGGCCCTCTTTCTGTTGCCCTCAGACACTTTATCAGCCAGATCTGCTCACCAGCCTGGCTCGCTGGTTGTGCCTGCCAAGTGGGTAAGAACAGAGGTTCTCACAGCAGCCCTTGTGCTCTTTAGCTGGTGTTTCCTTTCATCTCCATAGCACTTTACAGCTTCTAAATATTATATTCATGATAGATCATAAAAGTTGAATGTTTCCTCTGCTACTTAAACAGCAATTTAAGAGAGCAGCTTGAACTACTATGCCTCATAAAAATTGAACTTGTCACAGAGGAGAAGAAAAAACATTGTAAGCTGTAATTGTTCAGAGAAAATGTTGCTGCAAGACACATAATCCAATGTGACACTTGAAGTTCTTGTCATGGAGCGTTTGATCATAAAAAAAATTTATTATTTCTAAGGTCTATTTTCACATCAGTGCACTACACATCCTGTCAGAACAAATAGTGCACTAATGCAAATGATAAATAAAAAGTATTTTCACAGCCAAAGTATTTCCATTCCAAGAATAACTGTAAAAATAGAGCTACTGAAAGTGAGTGCAACCATGAGAACTGTGTGTCATAATATGAATTATATTTGTCAGCAGAGGACAGTATGGGGTTATTACATCTCCTTAAAACAGAAAAAAATAAAAAGAAAAAAGGAGAAGACTGACCTCTCATTTCCACCCTGTGTTTCAAATACCAGCTGTTAAACAAAGGCTCAGTGATGTACATCAAAAGCGAACCACACACCTGAGCGTGTCACAGCACTAGGGATAGCACTAGCTTGCACTAGGAAGCGCAGCAGCACTGCAGCTGTGGGCGAGGAACAGCCAGCCAAGTGAACGTGCCCATGGAGATCCATGCTGAAAGTACCCTTGAGGTTACCGTGAAGCCCAAAAACGTGGCCAAAGCCTTTTCAATCAATCAAGGGATGGCAAAAGAGGACTTTTCATCAGCACTAGATTATGTATGTTGCCCTACTGTAAAGGACAGGAGCTAGAAGGTGAACAAATAGCTGTGTTTTAGAGTGTGGCGTTGGTAATAAAAGGGGTGCAAAGGAGGAAAGCTGCTTTCTATGCAGGAAAAGGAAAACGCGTCTTTGCCTACTAAGAACCAGAGCCCAGAGAGTGAAAGTACGTGTATGTACATGCTGTGTTCGTGGGACATGCGACACACTAACGCAGCTTTGCCTTGGGCTTGACCCTGCCGGCCGGGGAGCAGAGCGCCTGGCTTTGGGCAGGGCTGGGAGCACGCACCAGCCCTCAGGGCAGCACGCCGCACACCCTGTGACACCGTCACCTTCCTGCCGGCTGGGACGGAGCACTTTTACCTGGATCACCCTGCATCCATCCCCATGCCGGGCCGGTGTCCCAGCAATTCAGCTCCCGCTCGGCAGCCGTCGCGCTCCAACGCTCCACATGGCGAAACCCTGGCTCCCGTCGGGGCTGGGCGAGGAGCGCGTTCCCCGGCGCGGATCGGGAGCCGCCTCACCTGGCCCCTCGGTTTTGTGAGGGTCTCCGTCCCCCCGGCCCCGCCGCTCCCGGCCCCGCTCCCTGCTCCCCGCCGGAGCCGCTCACCGGCGCAGCGCAGGCCCTGCGAGAGGACGAAGCGGCAGCACAGGTCGCACCACGCTCCCGCCGCCGCCTGCCCGAAGCGGTGCGGGGGCAGCGGCGGCGGCGGCTCGAGCTTCTCCCGCCGGTCCCGGGCGGCCGCCGCCATGCGGAGCGGGGCGCGCCGGCCGCCGCCGCCTCTGCCCGCCTCACGCACACGGCACCCGCGGGCGAGGGGAGCGGGGAGGCGGCGGGGGCGAAGGAGGCGCTGCACCGCTCCGCGTCCTCCCCCCGACCTCCCAGTCCTGCCGCCGGTCCGCCGCCCCGCGCCCGGCTGGCACGAACTCCGCATCGTTCGGCATAACCGCGCTCCGGGTGCCGCGGCAGCCCCTGGCACAGGGGGAGCTGACAAGAGCTGGTGACGCGCTTCAATAGGTTCCCGTTAAAACGATCTGCCTCAGTTCCCCAAAGCAGCTACTGGGGGAAATACTTCCCAGGGCTGGGCAGAGCTGCCAGAACACACCGGGATGGGGACGCTGTGGCGGCCGGGGTAGTCAGAGCTTGCATTCTACACTTGTGCGAGCTCCAGGAGCACAACGTTGAACTGCGCTGTGCCCGTCTGCAGCACGCCGGCCTTACTTGCCCACAGGCAGCAAAGTTCTCCGAAAGAGGTGCACCTACAACTATTGCTGCCTGAGCTAGTACCAGTGTCAAAACAGCAAATTCCACTGAGGGATACTACCCCCACCACTTTTTTTTTTTTTTTTTTTTTTGGTGATTGATGAAAAAATAAAGCTATTTAGGGCACAGAAAAATAGAAGGTCGTGAAGTCTTGCCAATGGCAGAATCAGTCACAAGAGCTCCCACCAGTTAACCTGTTCCTATAAACCTTCTTCAAACAGTATTGCTGTTCCCAGAACAATCTGTTCTGGCACTTGCCTCTCTTCACCATTAGAAAGGTTTCTCCAAAGTTGCAGGCTCGTTTTTTTTGTTTCAACTACAGTTTATATTAATAATCTATAGCCCTTTCACCACAGACACCCCGAATGCTGATCTTCTGGAACAGCTTGTAGATTACCAAAGATTTTTTACTTCCCCCTTCTTCCAGTACTCCCTTCTTTCAGCCAACAACTCTCCTTTTTCCCAGTTCTGCTCAGGACTATCCAGAACTGTTCCACAACTGTACCACTTCTACAGTGATTGACTACATCAGAACTGATTGAGTTCTACCAGTGAGCAGACACTAGGAATTTTACCACCATTAAAATAATTAACATTGTTCAGAACACATGTCAACCAAGTAGTTGAAAAAATGAGAAGAATTAGTGGTTCTACCATGCTAGTGATTCTGTTGTGCAGGGCACATTTTCTGAACAGCTGGATAATGCAAACTGAGCTGCAATTTGCAACTTCATGTTTCAGGTTCTCTATTGCGCTTACAAGAAAATAAATCTCGTAGGGAAATCCTGAAATTAACAGAAAATTAAATTATGAAAAGGCAGAAGTACACACTGTACAATAAGTGGTTGATGATGTATTTATGTCATTAAGCTGTTCACTCATGCATTTTCACAATTCATATGAAGACAGGTTTGTTCAAGTAACAGATAATTAATATATTCAGCTAAACCCCCCAAACCAGTAAACCAGCTTCAGGAAGAAGAACCATATATTACTTTCTATTACTTATTTTGGCAAACGAATAGCAAGACTCATAACATCAGGACACTTCGTTTGAGCAAAAAGTTGATGGTACCAACACTAGGCTTTGACTTGAAAAATTATTTGCTTCATAATAACGTAATCAGAAGCTTATGAACTGATTACTTCAAGTTCCTTAGCTACAGCTTTGTTAAAATTGCTTTAGAAAAAGAAATTTTAACATGATTAAGATTACTGATGTATTCAGCAAGACTAAAGCCAGCAATGTTTAAAATGAACATAAAATATAACAAAAAATTTTCAAACATGTAAAACAATGCTGCACATATCTCAACATACAGACTATACTACAATTAACTTTCTTTTTCAGACTGCTTCAGTATAAGGAAGTTGAAAATTATATATTCCACTTAGCACTTGATTTCTTTCAAGATTAAGAACTTTGAAACAACAACGTGTTATAATGTTGGAAACGAAATACAGTTTACGCACATCTAGAGAGCCCAATTCTTTTAACATTTATTCATGTCATTTACTGATATTCAGTGAGACTGTGGATGTGAATGAACAAATGTACAAGCAGGCATTAAAACATTCCAGTTAGACATCATTCCAGTATTTTAAAACTGTTAAGAATGCCAAAGAAAGATGTGTGACAAACTGTTGCACTCCTTTTGCATAGCTAGATTTTTTGGGTGACAAAGACAGAAGCTGCTCACATGAGTGTAAAAATGTTTGAATTCCCTTTTTTGATTCTCACCAAGAACACTGGAACGCAGGTCTTGGACATCAAGGCAAGAGAATTTCCTTTTCTTTTAAAATGAAACACTCATTTATAAATTTCCTAAGTTTCTCTCCAAATACTTTCTAAAAAGGAAATTAAAATGTTTTGTGTTCTGACCTGGACAGATAAGCAGGGAAAAAGCATCACAAAACTGCCAGATGCTATCACTGGTCGATGTTGTTTAGTTTACACCTAAATGTTCCACCAGTAATTATGGAAAATTCTAAATATAGTTGGTCCAGCTCTTACAGGTGTAATGCAGCAATGAGAAATGTTATTGGACACCACTGAACATCTATGGCCAGGTTTCCACAAGGAAGGAATGAGTTCTCTAATAGTTGAAACAAGTACATACATCTGTAGTATCCAAACAAAGGGATATTTCCAGAATTTTTTGTTTTCCTATTGTCTTTCTCCTATGTATTTTGGAGCAGAATGTTTCACTTTGCATCTCTGCATCCCAATCATGTAGCACTGAAAGTAGTAACCATTGATGCTGGAAAATAAATATACAGTCTTACTAAATTTTCCATCAAAGTTTGGTACCTAAGTTGTAAGGCAACAGTGGAGTGGTCCCTTTTCAAATCTAGACTGGTATCTTATTTTCCACTATTCAGTTACTACTGAGGTATGATACTATCCAGTCTACTGACTGTCCATAAACTCTTCTCATACCAAATTTCTAACCTTTTAAAAAATTATACCTGCAAGTAAGATTAAGAAGAAGCTGTTTTAAGTACCCACTGTTGTGGTGAGCAACAAGATTTCAGGGAAAGTCTGAAAATGCTGTACTCCAAAAAATGAATTTTTACATTCATTCTGACAAGCTGGAGTGCAAAACTTCCATATACTAAGCAGTCAAATGATTACAGACAACATGGCACCAAATATTTAGAGAACTTAAAAAAATATTGTGAATTTGCTTTCTGAAGTAGAAGAGAACTAACAATTTGAATGTGAAGGTAAGAGAAATGCATTTCTGTTCTGTCCTATGTGCACTCTTAGTCCCTATTCACACTCATTTAAAAACATCTCATTTAAAACATTCACCATGTTCTGTGATGATCGAAGTCATCCAGCTAGACTCCTACATAACAGTGGTTGTTGAAGGAAATCCAAAATACCCTTTATACAACAGTCTTTTAGAGTACTGCAAGTCCTCTTGCAATGAAGACTAAACTGCATTCTGAAAAAAAAAGGGCAATATTCAAAGCAGACAAATGTCAGTTTCATCAACAATACTTTTCCCTTTAGGAATCCTCAGAGATCCTCCAAGGGGCTCAATTCCCTGCCAGAAGTTATTCTATCCTAAAAGTGACCAAGAAAAGATATATATTTCTTTTGTATTTACATATTATACATATTTACATTTTCTTTAATATTACAGTTGCTGAAGGAAAAAAAAAATCCTGGATACAGGTTTATTATCTGCTTTCAACTGTCCCAACAGTATTTTTTTCCTCTTTGAAAAAATTTACAAGTCCTCTTCGGGTCCTTTGGAAGCTAGATACAGTCCACGTTCCGCAGGCCACCATCCATAGTCAAGGCACCAAATCTAAACCATAAAAACAGTATTTTTTTAGGTGGTTGACTAGAATATAGAATCAATCTTTAATTTGTTTATGGGGTTTTCCTTTCCCTTGCTACATGACAACAGAGGCATTTGTACCTACCTTTTGTATCTGCAAAGAAGATGAAAGACAGGAAGCTTTGCTGCAAGTATGGGACTGGGAGTGGGGAACAAACAAAACTAATTCAGCTTGAAGATAAACTCCACTCTACCAATTTACCCTGGAACTTTCAGGAGATACTTATTTTTATATATTTTTTCATCTTCATAGGAAAAAAAAATCAAAATCACTCTGTATGTGATAATGACAATACCCTCTCAGGATTGTAAGAAACATGTTTGCCTCTTCACTTTACTTAAGCAATCTGAAAACTGCAAAATCATTAATTCAGATTGGTGTAATTCCACAGCTGTCAAAAATAGCATCTAAAAGGGAGGAATTAAAAGGCACCACTGCATTGCTGCAACAGTATTGTGTTTAAATTCAGAATTGATCCGTCTGTGTGACAGGAATTGTTATTATATTTATATTTTATATTGTATTATATTATTATATTTTTATTTTATATTATTTTATTATATTTTAATATTTATAGCTAAACCAAAGTAACATGAAACAAAAATGCCCAAAAAATTGCTGTAAGATCATTCTGACACAGCCATGTTCCAAGGTTTTAAGTAATTATTTTTCTGATATGCCTCATTTGAACAACTTAAAATATATTTACAATTAAAGACATTAAAGAATTGTTTCCTTAGTTTAGATTCTGGCTCTATAAAATGTACCAATTTAAGCCTGCCCCTAGTTTCAGGCCCAAAAGGGAAAACAATTGCTTGCCTTTCTAAAATGTGGTTGTTTTCAGCCAGCTCTTTAACAACACCTTCCATTTCCTCCTTTAGTTTCTTCATCCTGTAGTAACCAGAAGCAAAAGAAAGATTAAAGTTTTTATTGGGATAGACACCTGCTCTGATCACTCACCACCACAGTTTTCAGCAACTTGCCATTACATACAAAATAAGGGACAGGTACATTGTTTATTTACAAAGAGACAGATGATACATCAGTGCTGTCCCCACTCACTTCCCAGTCTGTGCCACCACTACAGCAACCTAGAATTCTTGATCTTTATACAACAATCACTAAGCCATTTAATTTTTTTTCAATTTCCCTGTATAGCAAGCATACAGTATTACATCAATCCCATTACAAAATTCTCACCCAAGAGTCATTTCTACTAATGTGTTTGAGCTTGGATAGACTGTGTTCATCGTATGTTTCATCCCACTGGAAGCTGCAAACATTTTCTGTGGCAGGGCATCTTGTAACTGTAATAGATAAAAAGGAAATCTAAGTTACAATAGAAGATGTCATGTCTATCTTGATGCCCACCTTAAAATCCTTTTTTAAATTCTCTGTTGCTGTGATATCTCATAAACTCATTACAGTACTAAGGAGGCTGATATGCTCCAAGATGAGATCATCACAGCAAGTTTTGTATGGACATGACCAATAATTCCCTGGTTTGTTCCATCTTCTTATCTAATACTTTCATAATAAACTCTGGAAAGGAAGAAATATCTATTTGTTATGTCTGTAGATATCCTAGGGCAACAAGATCCTAATCAATAGATTGGTGGTGCAACTAAAATACAAATAACAAGGAAAATGCTTCTGTTCACCATTCCTATACTGATTTTACAATTAGCAAGGGCTTTTTGTTCATTTATTTTCCTTTCTAAAAAAAACAATAATTTTACTACATGAAAATGGTCTTATTCTCTCAATTTTGAGGTAATTCTGATAAGTTTGCATCCTGCAGAGTTACAGTCCAGATCATTAGTTTAACATCCTTAAATATGTATCCCTTCATCTTGACTATGGAAGCAGCATTTTTATACTTCCTAAGAGAATTAGGATAATCCTCTATGTCCTCTGAAAATATTATGGTAACAGTTGCACAGAACGTTTCTCAATGAACCCATATCCATTTGCACTGATTTTCTTTTTTGAGGGGGAAATGCTAACATTAGCAAAAAAAAAAAAAACCAAACCCAAATCATCCAAACCCACAAACTTCACCAAAAAACCCCCATGTAGATAAAAAAAAAACCCACCACCCCAAACCAAATTAGCCCCACTAAATTCCAAAATCAAGTTACAATTCACAAAATCACATTATTCAATTATTCAAAAATAACAGCATTCAGTGTGTAGTCCACACTAACATGGCAATGAAGCTCCTGCAGACCACACAGAGCACCCACAAAGGCCAGTATTTAAATACAACTCCATTAATGTAAGACTTACTCTTAGCAACACTATTGACATGAAAATACGTGGAAGTCTTTTAACTATGCAAATGCTACCCATAATTTTGAAGCATTCTACCTCATTTATATAATCCTGGTATTTGGACACCTCTTCTTCAATACCAAAACACTGGTTGGTAAGAGCCAGTAATTGCTTCCTTGTGTGAAGCATTTTCCTAAAAGAGAAAGAATTTTCTCTTAAGAGCTGCTTATATAAAACTGCTGTGATGAACACTACCAAATATTAAAGAAATCAACAGCTTGCCTTGTCCAGTCCTCAGCTTTGTCCAAAAATGTCTCATACTTGCTGACACATTCATCTTTGAAAAGAGCTATGGCTTTTGTAGCATGCAAATACAGCTTCTGCCTGCAACACAGAAACAACCAAACCAGTGTCATAATGCTTTCAAAACCCCACTCCTCTAACTTTCTAAAATTTGGAGAAAGGTTTGTGGACCTAAAATCTGTGCAGCCACCTTTATTCAGGCTGTTGTAATGTGTAGGAACTCAACATTCTACAGGAACTGACAATTTATGTTTCAAAAATATACCCTAGCAGGGAGGAAGAAAATGATTTGCAGCACTTAGTTTGTATTTGTATGCATACTTGTATATGAATAAATGGTCAAATGTCTTATTTGAGTCAGCTGGTATATTCAGAATTCTACATGGAAAGGACTAAAGTCCTAATTATTTCATATTTGCCTACTGCAGATACTTGGAACTTCTAGCATATATGAATAATCCTTTGCACTGAGTAACATACATGCAAGAAAAAGAACAGAAGTTTTATGTCAGCCTAATTTTATGACAAGAGGAAAAAGAAACAAGCAGAAAGGGAAGATAAAGGAAAACAAAGCCTAATTCTTCTTAGTGTGGCAGACAGTAGTCCCAGTGTAATTGCCTCACCATGCTATGCATTGCACCAGTTAAGTGTAAGGGATACTAGAACACTACAGATCAACACCTAGTTCAGGTATTCATTAAGTCTTGCATAATAAATACTGTTAATTAAATTGTAGCTAGAGTGTAGCTGGACTGTCATCAGGAATGCATACCTATCATTCAACCAGAAAAATGAAATTCAAATAGAGTGCTGCTCTCTTATCTGCTTAGAGATAAATATTACAAAGGCCAGCCTCTGCTGATAATAGCACACAGTCTTTAACAAAAGCCACTGCCATTTCCCTGTGGGGTGAATCAAGTATAAAAAAGATGGACTTAGGATCTCAAACCTGTACAGTCCAGTATTCAAACCACGAAAATGAAGCATACTTATTTGAAGTTTATCATACACTTAGGCAAGGACATGGTTTTAGTAGTAGAAAACCCTCTCTTCGGCTTGGCAGTTATCCAGTTTAGCTTTCACTATGGGAAAATCAAGTGGCAAAGTTGTGTCCTCTGCATGACAGCTTTCTATCTGTAATTGTCAGTAAAGCCACATTCAGGTAGGAAGAGCAAGATTTTTTAGAAAATTATGTAAGTGGTGTCTAAATTCATGCAACATTGAGCAAAGTCTAGGGAACCATGCAACTGACCAGCTACTAGGAGAATAATTTATTTACTTAAGCATAAGCATCTAGCATCATTTGAGATAGAATCTTATAATGGTTTGGGTTGGAAGGGACCATAAAAGTAACCTAGTTCCAACCCCCATGTCACAGAGCACTGCTAGGGATGGGGCAGCTACAACTTCTCTGGGCAATCTGTTCCAGTGTTCATCTCCTTCACAGAGAACTTCTTCAATGTATGCACCCTAAATTTCACCTCTTTCAGCCTGAAGCCATTATTCCTTGTCCTGTCACTGCAGCTCCTGATGAAGAGTCACTCTCTGGCTTCCCTGTAGCCCCCCCGCTTCAGCTACTGGATGGCCACTAGGAGGATTCCATGCAACCTTCTCTTCTCCAGCTAAGATATCCTGCCCTGCTTCTGACCTGTCCATTTGACAGGTTTCCCATTTGACTTTGTCCTACCTCCCAGTCTCAGAGCATGCCCCAGATATTTTAGGGCAACTTAAATGGCATTAGCCATCTGCATATGAGGAAGTGAATAAATCCTGAGACAAGTACAGCAGTATAAAATCAGTGGAGACTATGGGAGTTTAGAGACCCAAGTTACAAACAGATCTTAATGTGAACACCTTGCATGAGTGACAAACAAGCATGGAGAATGGAATTAAAATTAATTTTGTATGTTATATTTCCTTTAAGATTAAATCATTCTAGAATTTCATTCAGCTAGTCCATATTTTACTTATATGTAGAAAATTATCTCCACCTTAGCTGCAAAGTCATTTTGATCTTACTCAGGGCTTTTTCCTGCCTGAAAAAAACCAGGGAAGAGGTGAACTTCCTACAAACCAGTTATGCCCATATAACAGTCAGGTATTGTCCTTTTAGAAGGCCTATCAGTGAAAACACTCTACAGCCAGAAAGCACCTCATTACCATATGCTAGTACCCCCATGTATTAAGAAATTTAAAATAAAATTTTTACAAATCAATCCTAAAGAAGTCATGATTTTCAATAAAATTAATATAATGGGTTATTGGCAAGAGCATCTGGAGGACCTGAAAGCAATCATGGTAGCTCCCAAAGGCAACTTCAAAACTTACTTGTCAAACTTGTGTATTTGTTCTTCATTATAAGGAAGCCCTAGGATCAGAGCAGATGACAAACATTACCAATCTAACTCTGCTAGATGTATTGATGCAAAACTCTACTAAGTTTACCCATTTCCAACACAGTTTCCTTCTTTTTACAGGTCAAAATGGTCATACACTTTTTTTCTCCTCTCTAGTCTTGCAACTCCAATTTATGGTATTAATAGTGGTGTTTCCATCGTAAGGGCTTTAGCATGGTATCACACTAAGGACCTACAGACATATGCACAAGTGGCTAACTGTCCATACCTACCACTAATACCCTAGTCAAACTAAGACTGACCTGTCCTTTGCATTACATTTTATATTAAAAGTGAATCAAATAAACTACTTACTTCGTTCTGCTTTGTCTTTTTTGAACTGATAGTAGATGTCTGTGATGGAAGACAGCAGGGCCTGCAGCCTTTCTGGACTGGAGTGACAAAAGGAAGAAAATTAGATGTTTTATACATAAACTCAAGTACCTATTAGTGAGCTTTGTGAACTCCAACTCCATGCAGAATTCAATACACATTAAAACAGTAAGTAGTTACTCACTTTCTGTCTTTTGGATGCATGCCTTCCTGATTTGCCCAGGTGTCAGCCAGTAAACCACCAGGAGAAAGTTTGGCTTTGATATCTTGCAGACTAGTTTCTATGGTGCCCTGAGAGCTGGAGAGCTATGTAAGAGCAAGAAGGTTCAATCTTATCACTAGGTAAAGTGAAAAATTATTACTTGAGCTCATTACTTGATAATTACTTGAGCACATTAATACTACAAACCTGTTTGTTTCACTGTTCTCCATTAAAGAAATATGTCCAATTATCTGCCTAGGCTTAGCTAGAAGCAGATAAAGCAAGGTATTATTAAAGAAAGAATAATATTTGATGCTGGCATTTCTGTTAGTTAAAATTTACTTTCTTTCAACAATAACTTTCACCCTTTCATAAATCCCTTATTTACTTCTACCCTTATTCTTCTGATTTATTAAGAATTCATGTAATAACTATCCACATGATTCATACCTTCCTTTCTCTGCAGCTCATATAACCTTCAAAATAAAAATGCACTAATAATCTTTTGGTTTTAGAATGGAGAACTTTTTATCTGCTCCCAGTGTATTAAGTTATTTTCAATTTTTCCTTTAATGTCTGGAAACATGATGCACATTTCAAAGCAGATCACTTTGAAGTGTGTTTGTTAATGTAACATTTTAGAAAGCCAACAAAGTAGTCAATAATTCTTTAAGGAAAGGAAAAAATGGAAAAGAAAAAATAGCAAAGCAAAATATATTTCAGGGTTATAATTCTTGAGTATTTTAGAAAATAGGAATGTATTTTCGGGAACTCATTTTCACTCCACTGAGCTAATGTAAAAGGATCTGCTCTGTTTTCAGAAAGATAGTCACATTAGTATGGACATTTTAACAACTGGCAATCTAGAAACTACATTGAAATTTCAGAGTTGTTATTCACAGAAGCCTGTGTTACTGTGTATTTGGCTTTTTCTGTAGCAACACCATTTCCAGAATGACAGGGTAACTTTGTCAGACACTTACGCGCAGGAGTTTTGTGTGTATCTCTGAAATTTCATCTACTTCTGATGCTTCCAAGTTGATCTGCATCAAATTTTCATATCTGTCCAGCAAAAGAAGGCAGTTAAAAAAAAATAAACAAGCAGTGAATACACTCAAAGTATTTCTTGAATCCAGCTCATAACAGTGACTGCCTCTTCTTGTATATGAAATACAGTCTCAGTCAAGCAACAACCATGAAACTGACAAATTTAAGTGGCCATTAACAATGGAAACAGATTTAAAAAAAACATTCCTTGATTTTTTCCTACATTGGAACTGTTAAAATAAAGTTGAAATTTCCATTCCTGAATTTTTTATTCTAGTATTATTACTTGTACTTAACAGGCAGTGGAAGACTATGTCCTTTCATCAAGTAATTTTTTTAATCTTATCTAACTAAAGGTACTTAAAGTAGTCATTAACACGCTAATACTTCAACGTACCAAAATGTTTTCTGAGAAAACTTACTGGGTTAAATGCTTAAAGGCTGGGATAGTAGGACCATCTGTTCATACTGATACTTTCCATATGACCATAGCTCAAGTGCCAAATAAATTATTCAGGACAATATTTTTTCTCTTGAGTCTCATGTACATTTTAGTTTTAAAAACACCATCACAAACAGCTCAACTGCTTTCAAAAAATACATGCTTCACTTAAGTTCAATGCTTTATTTACCTTTTCAAATAAAGACTTTGTATTGTCATGCTTTGAAGCACAGCCTTGAAAAGGAAGGACAAACAAGAGGACATGTCCTTTAGAAGACTTTTATGGAGTTAGCAAAGTCAAACAAACTGAAAATCCTGCCCCTTTGTAAGAGGCCAAAAGACCATATGCCAACACATAGAAAATTTCTGTTCACGTTAAGAACTACTCCAGTTAGTAAATGAATGTCATTTTTTTTCAAACTCCTGCTGAGGTACTGTTGAGCACAACAGAGTCACAAAACAGAACTGATAGTGGTTTCTTCTGAGTGGCTTTCTTCTGGCAGAATGCAGGAAGAAACTATCTGAACCAAACACAGATTGAACAAGATCTAGTCCTGCCAACTAGTACAAATGGGATTGAAGAGGAGTTTGGGCTCTTGCCCTGATGATTTGTATCTAGGCTGCACAGGTGTTATCTTGCAAGTTACCAACTTTACTGTTTCACTGTTGTGGTTTTGTGGTGTTTTTGAAGCCAATACAAAAAGACACACCTGGGTTTTAAGGTAGGCTTGACACACACAGAACAAATCTGTCAAACCCTTGAGCATCCACAATTACTACAAACAAGGTGTTCAATTTGCACAGTCATAGCAGCTCCAACAGGTTTAAGTTTAATTCCTAAGTCTACTCCGCAAACCCAGTGGTTCTACATGTGTGTGTTAATCACCTTGTGGGTACCTGCATTTTCAGAGCAGCCTGGTGAGAAGTTCAGAAAATCTCATGACTAAGAGGGCATTTGGGGAAGACTGGCAGTAGGTTGAACAGGAAAATTACCACCCATAGGAGAATGCTAAGAAGAGGTGCTATTTGAAGTTCTTATCACACTGCCTAAGAATAACACCTTCCTGGGAAGGGACCAAGGGGGGCTGGGCCTGGTTGGTTGGGTTTTTTTTGCAGCTGCTCTGTGTTGTATTTCAACATGAAAATTCCTTTCACGCAGAAAATGCTACAGTCTTAAAACTGTGTAAGGAGCAGTATTTGAAGTCATATGCAACCAAACGCAGTGGCAAAAGCACTAATGAAAGCAAAGCTACTTGATTCTTTGTCCAAGCTTTACTATAGCTTCTAGAGTCAGTAAGAGCAAATGAGCTGAGTCAGAGCAGGAGAAAAAGAACACACACAGTTACCACTAATTAGTAATTACTTGTTCTTATTAGGTTAAGCAGCAAAATTAATACTCTAACTAAAGGAACATATATGACTAAATCTGCTTAAGTCAGTGCCATCAGAAAATCTATGCTGACTCAAATTTAATTTTTATATGCAAAACCACTGCAAATAATCATAACTTTATAATACTGTTGTCATTAAAAATGATAATGAAGAATCAATGTGTATGGTGTAATGCTTCTACTCACATTTTCTCAGCCTTCTCAATGTTTCTGTTGCAGAAATCCAGCCTGATGACAATCTCTGCCTTTTTATGAACCATTTCATTGTAATCATCCTTGATTATTTCACTAAAAAAGTGAAGCATTAGTCTATAATGTATAAAGTAATGAATAAAAGTATTCAACTGCCATCCTACCAGCAATCAGTAATACAGTAATATATCTGCAGCAATAATTGCCAGGAGGAATTGTTTTCAGTTAGAGATGCATTACATAATCCTCATATAAAAATACCTTGTGCAAGCTGTTCAATTCCATCTGCATGTTACCAGAAGTCAGACTTAAATTATACACAGAAGAAAGTAAATTTGCAAACACCTTAACTTTAATTATTAAAAAAAAAAAATTTGTTTCCCTAATGACAGGAAAAAGGGAGAAATTCAGCCTACCCCTACTCAAGGATAAACAAAAACTCCCAAGATATCAAGAGATTACAGAATTATGTATTTATAATCAAGGCATATCTTGATTTTAAAAAAAAGAATAATGAAATGCAGTCAATTGCTTACATTAGCCATCGAATTCCTTTTCGCATCAGCTCCTGGTAAAGTAGCAAAGAACTGGCAACTCTACAGGCATAACACACAATACCTGTCACTGCCTGGAGGAAAAAAAACAGCATAAATACTGATCTGGCATTCTCTTAACAATTGCTTCCAGACAATACATCACAACAAAGCAACACAGATTAATAAAAGAAAGCAACACGAGGATGGTAGTTTATAATGTGCAACTTGGCCTAAGCTTTAGTCAGGCAACAACCAAACAGCCATTATGAAGGCAGAGCTAACATGGGTTTTCCAGTTATGCTGAAGCACCTACTAGGGATGAAAACAAATCTCACAAACACAAATGACGCAACTTACTATTTCTGTCAAAGTTACAAGTACATTTCTTCAATATTTTAGGAATCACATACATTAAAAGGAACTTGTAAAAATTGACACTTTTTTAATTCTAAGGCTAGAGACTCTCTTAATTTACCCAACTCCACTCACAAGATTGCTGTATTATTTAGAACTGAGAACGAAGTTTCAGATATTATAATTTACAATATTTTAAATAATTAATATAAACTGATGCATTCTGTTTCTTAATTTTCAAGATTACTGGTATTTAAAGTGGCATACATTTTCAGGACTACCATGTCTGAATAAAAGGCTCCTCAGCAGTCAGTATTTCACATGTATAAGTGGTCATCACAATGTCAAACCTGGCTGCGCATACATTCAGTAGTTTTAGAAAAACAACCAAAAGAATGCAACATCCTTTACTTGTCTCCCACAGATTCTGAAAGTTTCTAAGAGGCAACAGAAATTCCACCCATCTGCAGAGTCCTAGAGACTCCTCTCTATCAAGCAAGAGATATTTTTCTAATGTTAAATTTTGAACCATTATAAGTTATGAAGCTTCTAACTTCAGGACTGCCCACCACCACTGAATTATACAGTAACAGAGCATTTTGAATTTAGAAGACTGGACTTTGGGTTTGGTTTTAAAAAAACCCAAACTATATTTTGCATACAAAAGTACAGCTTTAATATATTTTTAGATCCTTTGTTAATAAATATATTTCTATCAGTCAGAATCCTCATTAGCATTCCAAAATAGTTTTATTAACATTATTTATTTGAAAATTAAGCTTTCATTTCACTATCATTAACCAAGACAGGTATATAATCTGAAATGGTAATTACTCACTTTAGCCATACTGGCATCCCCATCCAAATCGTAACGTTGATGTACTTTAGGAAGTAAAACTGAAACATACAACAAGCGTCTGTATTTTATTATTTTTGAGAAGAGACTTCAAAAGTTCAGATTGTTATCCCTCCCCACCCTGTACACTGCTTTTATGCCTTTTAATATCATGTGGTTCTCATGCACTCCTTTAAAATCAGTCTTTGTCTTAACTGTTTTAAATAACTTGGTACCTTCAGCAAATTGTCCTTCCTTTTCCAGACTCACTTCTGAATATCCCGCACAGCACCTAATTCATGCAGGTCTCCACTTGCAATGTCTCTCCATTGAGAGAAACAACTGGTTCTCTCTGTTCTTCAGTACCATGTTTGCCCACATAGAAGACCGTTCCCTTTTCATCACAGGGCTGCTTATTTTCATTGAGGCTCTTAAGGGTAGCACTTCACCAACCTCCTGAATCTCCTTTGTTCTCATGCTCACTGGCTACTTCAGAAAGCCACAATACAGACACAATTTTGAGGCCCTGTTGATCCTTCCACAAACAGCTCACCTACCCAAACTCTTCAGCACCTCTGTTTGAGTGCCAGCTGGCCAGAGCAGTCAGTTGACAAAAGCAACACTGACCTCTCAACTGCAGCCATATCTTACTCCTCCTCCTGCTCATCATTTATTAAAAAGGGCCCTGGCATAGGCTCCTCTAAAAGCCTCACAATGATAAATGGAAATTCAAAACCTTAATTTATTTTTTCTCCTCCTGTTATGGTATTACCTTACCTTCTGAGCAAATGCACATTGTAAAGACCTCTTCTCTTAACTGAAAGGCTAACCACTTTCATGACAAATTAGAAAAAAAAAAAAAAAGTAAAACTTGATTTTCCACTTAGTGAATAAGGGAACAAAAGAACCAGCTTTGAGTTACTTCCTATAATGTTTCTTTCCACTTGTTTAAAATGTCATGCTTCAAAAAGGTTCATAACTCCATAAGCACCACTACATCTTAGCACACAAATGTTCAGGTCCAAAGGACTTGAAACATTACAAGTACCTACTGTTTCTGTAAAAATGTTCTGGATACTCAGCAGTTTTGAAAAACATGGGACTGCATACTTAGAACTTCAGATATCAACAAAAGAAAATTTCCAACACTATTTTTAAGACATAACAGACATAAAACAATTACATTAAGTAACCCAAACTATTTACAAAAGATAGCTGTGAGAAAAGGGAAATTACTTTCACATACCTTCTTCATAGATTAATCCAACAATGTTCACAGCCTCCCTGCTTACTACAAAGATAGGATTCTCCTCTGTTGTTCTGGGGAAGTGCTGTGCCAATCTGCCCGGCTCTAGTACTAAGCGCCGACCTTCATATATCAGTTCTTGATTCTGAGATGGTATTTTTGTCTGTTTGTAGACCAACTCATGAAATATAGCAGCTCTATAATACAAACAATATAATCGGTAGTAGTTAGACTCGCTACAATAGTTTAGCAATTCAAATTTTGTATTATTTAAATAAAAATTGCTTTTATTTCTGATTAATTAAGAGCTGGGTTTACACATAATGCACTTAACTTTTAAGTAAAAAAACAGCATGGTGCCTAAGACACCAGGTTGTTGTGTTACAAAAATAGAAGCTATTTCCTGCAAAATATCAAACTTCCTTTCTACCTCTGATTATCTGCCAAAGCACGTCTGTCTAAACAAAATTGCTCTGGTCTGAAGGTCTGTAAAAACAGCCAACACCAGATGAAGGGAAGGAAACCTACTTAAGTTTTCTAAGGCATATCCATTTCTTGAAAAGCAGATGGATGGTCTCTCCCAAAGCAAAGTCTGGTGTTTTACATGTCAAAAAATTAAATTCAGCCCGTAAGCTAACAGACAGCCAGATTATTTCCTAAAACAGCAGTGATAAGAAAGAGCAAAGACGCTTTGGAATTTTATTTAGAGCAATCAATAGATACAAGGATAAGAACCCATAATACCACCATACCTCTCCCCTCAAAAAAACCCCACCACAAAACCTACTACACCACAACAGCAACCAAAAAACAAACTAGCAAAACCTCCCACAAAGAAGAAAAGCCTTCAGCACACTAACGGGAAGGACCAGCTTGCCTCCTGTGCAGCACTAGTACACTATTGCTTCTTAATACTACAGCTAGTTTATAAACAATCACACATGCAAACAATAATAGAATAATAGAAATTAGAAGCAAGATTTCTCTGCAAAAACAGTATTTGGGCTATCTCAAAATAAAAGTGATGGAATAGAAAAGAAAAATTGAAGTGGGCAGAACTGTATTTACACATTTGATGAAATAACAGTATGTACCCATGTATTAGAAATTAACATGTGCTCTGTATTATCTGTAACACAGAAGAAAAAAGGCATTTATGTTTGTACATCTCACAGCTTTTAACATCAGTACTTCATGGTCATAAAGTGAACCCCAAACAAATCAGGATCCTAAACTGTACCAATTACCACTTCAGAGCCCTTGTGAGAGCTTTGCGTGCCACCAGAGAATGTGTGCATTTTGTATGCTTGAGGACATTATTTTTATTTCTGGTCAACATGTTTCCATATGCACTATGACTATGCAGGAGAACTGCGCCTTTTTACTTCCTCAGATAAACTGCCAAGGAGAGGTTGCTGAATTTGTAACACTGGTGACATGAGGTCACAGGTTACTGAATTTGTAAATGGTGATCTGGTCACAGTGCTGTTAGCCTGAACAAGACTAAAGCAATGCAAATAGAGAGAGAGAACACTTACGTATTATAGTTGTGAATATAAACTTTGTGCAAGGTCATCTGCTGTAATGAAAAGATGTGGATTATTATCCGGTGCAGTACGTCACTTGTCTCTGCAAAAAACTGGTCAAATCCCCAGCATTTTTCCTGGTCTGCTTCAAGAATATTCGCAAGGACAGGTGTGAGCAGTACTTGCAGACCCCTAGAGGACACCAGGAAGAGATGAGACAACTTGGTTCTACTTGGAACGTTTTATCTTGCAACCAATTGCAATAATTCATTTGACTTGTCTCATGTATACACATCTATTATCCCTTAAAGAATCTGTCAGTGCCTTTTTTCCTACACTGAGCAGCTAAAATGTTCAAGGGCAATGTCCATTGTTTTTCATTAGTACATGTACTTTAAACCTTTCCTTTTCAGGCTTAACTATCAAGTATTTTTTTTGGTATTTGAGAAATTTCACTCACACTGCAAAAATCACATAAAATTTACTAAGTCTACATTGTAGAGCTGAGGCCACTTTCTACCACCCCAGTCACATTTTACCCAGCTCACCCCACACACCACAGTGTATCACTTTGAAGGAAGCTACTGCCATTTAGGATTTGCTGGTGGTGATGCTTGTGTGAGCACACTATGTTGCTTTCAAATCAAAATCAGCTGGATTAGCAGACTCATTATTTAAACTGTCAACACTAAGAATTCATCCTGATTGAGATGGGGCTAAATAAGTACTCTGCACATGCAGCTTCAATGCTGCAAAAAAAAACCTGTGCTACCCATTGCCTTACAGTTGTTACTATTCTAAGAGAAAGGTCAGCTTAAATTTCTTGCATTTCTTCGTTGAGCATCTGAATGGTAAGGAACTTTATGGATCCCACTTGTGCATTACCATGAACAACTCCAAAATTTTAACATTATGTACACATCAAGCCTGAATCTAGCAGTAGAACTGGTAACATTCTGGAGCAAGCTGCAGTGGCTTGCAAGCACACTGCTGACTGCATTAGAGGTCAGTGGATGCTGTGCTCAAACTCACTTTAGTACTAAACTTCTAACACTGAATACTCCTTGAATACTACTTAAAAGGATTATTATGAGGAGACATTTAATGAGAAAAAATCTGCTTCCTTTATAATTTCAAGCAGTTAAATTGTACAGAATAAGCAGAGGAACAAATGAGCGGTATCATGAAATTGCAAATTCTGCATATTCTAAACTAATGAATTCATATAAACCAGACTTTGACTCTACACCCCTTAAGGATGTACATATTAGGATTTCAAAAAAGTTTGCTTCTACAGTCTGTTCATAGAACAATTTATTTCCTCCTTTACCACAAAAGATTAGTAACTTCAAAGTCCAGAAGAAGTCTCAGGAAGAAAAATGGGTAAATGGGTTATGGGAGGTGTTTTCAAAGTCATATCAAAATTAGATCTTCCATAGCTCTTCCTACTGCATATTACAGGCATATGAAGCAAAAATATGATGATAAAATTGAAAAGATACAAGTATGTGTTAAAATGCACTTATGTGACCTTTTTCCTAGCAAAAAGTAAGCCTCTCAATTGTCTTTGCTTATCATTTCCTTCCTACTGCCTAAACTTTGTCATATCTCAAGTCACATTCTTGCAAGAAATGAGGGTCATCAAAGTTATTAATTCTTCATTCCTGAGGGTGAAAAAATGCAGTAATAGTATCTCTTCTTAAATCACATCAGATGTGCTCATTTGTAAATTAGCAATCACAAAACTATTTGGACAGATGAGAAGAAAAAAACCACTTGATAACCAAATGTCAGACTGTACTGATGTACTGAACAGTTCAAAGAAAAAACTGTGTCAGATCTCTGCTCCAAAGACACAATCCCAGAAAATAACTGGAAAAGCCCAATGAAGTGGTATTGAAACATTTTGTGAACATCTGTAAGTTCAAACTTACTTTGAAAGGCTACAAGAAACGGGCATCTCCCAACTCCACTCAATAGGTCCATTTTCTGCTTTCTGTATTCCAGAAATAGCACCAGAAGGCTTTCCAGTGATTATTTTATACCTGCAATACATTACAAAAATAACGGAAACTTCAACTACTACCTCTTATACATATATAGGTCGAGTAATTAATCCTCAAAGGGGCAGCAAAAATGCAAATTTAAATGACAGGTTGGCCTAAATTTGTAGATGGTGCAAAAATTAGGAAGCTTCACTTACAAGCTGACAGAGCTGTGCTAAAAGAGTAAAGAACAAAAAGCTACGCTGGAGAAGCAACTTGGTTTACCTCAGCCTTGGGGAAAACTTCTGGAGATATTTCCAGCATACTGAAGGAAACCAAAGGTTTTCACAAGAGTTGATTAGTCAAAGTCAATTTAGTTCATTTACACATTAACATGCTAACTTCAAGCATGTTCCACAGCAATAGAAAACACTTAGTCACCACAAAGTGGCTTGGGCATAGAGAAGGAACATCCAGAAATCTGGAACAATTTGGCATTGTTTAACTTTGTATTGCACAGGCAAGTATTTCTCAAATTTTTCATGAAACAAATGAGTATCAATAGACTTTTTGCAACAGAATATTTCAGTTGTGCTTTCTTTTTCTGGAGGACAAGATGCATACAAAACATCTCTCAAGCAGCTACAACAAGAATTCTTATGTGAAAAACATCACAAAATGGAAAATTTCTTCAACTAAGAAAACTGGAGTCAGTTTTACACAGAGCATCAGAACAGAGATGGTACCGACGTGTTAAAGATTCCAAGCACCACCCTGCTTAATTCTTAAAATGCAACACACAGAAAACAAAATAGAACCAGACTAAGATGAAACAGGAATCGAATACAATCATGACATCACAGGCATATCTTCTGTTTTCCATTCAGGAGCCATCCCTTTTTTCTGCAGCTGCAGTCCACAATTGTACTACTCAAATGTCAGTCTCATTGGTAGTGCACTCATTTCAAGACTGCTGGGTAAGACCATCATTTAAATGAAAACAAAAATTTGCAGCACTGAAACCCCATTTCAGAATACCATAATTTTGCCTGAGTATCCAAGTTACATAAATGGCACTGCAACAGACCAGCCTAGTGCCATGCTGAAAGAAAGATTTGCGGAAAAACACCAATATTTTGGGGGAGCTCAATTCAGGTCTTTCTCAAATTAAATGCTTAATTCAGATCTTAAGGTGCCACAGAGTAAAATCCTTGTTGAAGCAGAATGCTTCTATTGATTTTGGCTGGGATAGAGTTAAGTTCCTTCACAGTAATGTATGGTACTATGTTTTAGATTTGTGACCAAAACAGTGCCAATAACACAGGCATGTTTAGCCATTGCTGAGCAGCACTTACACAGCATCATGGCCTCTTCTACTTTTCTACTGCCCTAACAGCAAGTAGGCTGGGGGCAGGCAAGAAGTCTGAAGGGGATACAGGAGGACAGCTGACCTAAGGGATATTCCACACCATATTGCTCAACAGCAGAAGCTGAGGTGGGGAAGAATTTTCCAGGGTAGCATTTCGTCAGGGACTGATTGTGCATCAGTTGGCTGCTTGTGAGCAACTCGGGATTTTTCTGCATTACTTGTGTTCCTTGGTTTTGTTTCCCTTTGGGTTTAAGAGGCAAAGGCTGATGTTTGTTGTGGAGGTTTTTTTTACTTATTAAACTGTCTTTAACTCAACATATGAGTTTTTGCACTTTCACCCTTACAATTCTTTCCTCCATCCCACTACAGAGAAGTGAGTGAAGAGCTGTGTAATGTTCAGCTGCCTACTGGGGCTATACCACAACAAGGCAGTGTTTGTCCTTTAATATTTTCACTGTTTAGAAGTTTTTCTATATGTGTGTAGGATTCCTTGGTAAAAAGCATTTCAAGGGCTGATTTAATTTACCAACAGTTAAAATTCTCCTTCTAAATTACCTACATCACTTCCTTGTTTCTCCGAGGTCCTTCAAAAGGCCGGAAAGGCAAACTTCCTGTTGCAGCATGGTAAAAGGTCACCCCTATGCTCCACAGATCAACTGTTGCTCCGTACTTCTTCTGATGTTCTTTTCTCAAAACTGCTCGCTCATACATATCAGGATGCTAAAGAGAAAAAAAAAGTTACAATTGCTTTATGAAGCTTTATAAAGAAAAAACCCAATCTATCCTTTCACAGAAAGGTAATTTGTCAGTCTAAACTTTCAGTTCTTTAAAAAAGAAAAGCTTGCTTGCATCACAGAAGTTGCTTAAGCTATTCTCACAAACATCACTATATTCCTAGGTATGAATGTTGCTTTTATTAAGAAGTTTGCAATAAATATTTTAAAATTCAGCTCAAGAGTGAGTACTAGTATAAAAGACAACTAAAAAAAGAGAAGAAATTCAGTATTCCTCCTGATGATTTTGAAACAACAGAAACCAAATGGAAAAAAGATTCACAGCAGAGGAGAGTATCAGCTGTGAATCACACGTGGGAAAACATGGCAGGAAGAAAATCATACTAAGGTGCATGTCTTGATACTTCTCTACTTGCCTCTCTTTGGTTAGCCAAGGTTTCACATGAATCTTAACTACACCTAACGTCATCCAAGTAGCTCAAACACAAACTAAAACACATCTACAGAGATAAAAGCAAATATATTCCTAACTAAAATATTGTTGTTCCTCCTTTTACACACAGCAACAGTTAAAGCTGGACCTGGAAATTATTTCAAGGCTGATGTATTTACATCATGCATGGCATGATCCATGATGAAAAAGTCCAGTGGAAAGTTATACAAACAACTGTAATACAAAGGTTTATATACTAATTCCCAACAACCTGACCTTGACCTATTCAACCATAATCATAAACGGCCTCAAGCTTCAAACATTTCTTCAACAGAAAATTAAATCATATGGGCTTACTAAATACTCTTCTGTGCCATAGAGAGAAACAAATTGTTCATCATCTTCAAGTTCTCTTGCTGCACCAAAATCTGTAAGTTTGTAAACAGACTGCCCATCTTCACCTATAACACGCATTATATTGCCTGGCTTGATGTCACGGTGCACTATTCCATTCTCACGGAGATGATTCATCCCAGCCACTTCAATTCAAAAAATAAATACAGAATTTATGTACACATTGTGACACTGTGCAAACACTGAATTGTAACTGATACTAGGAAAACACGCTTATGTTCTTATTGGGAAATGGGAATGAGAAGGGACAGACAATTAACAGGAAGACCATGACCACATATTGCTTTTTTTTTCTTTCCAAACAGCTAAATTACAGCATTTCTTGCTCTCAGTAACATCTTTCCCATAAAGTAAATTTTATAGCAGGTAATCACAGGTAAACCATATTATTTTTCTAATTAACTCTTCTGAAATTATCACTGGAAGTCTGTACAACATGTGAAAAGTAATCTCGAAATAAAGAAAAAAATGCATCAATACTTTACACAAAAATTGCTTCTTAATGCAGATACCTATACCAACATAAATATAAATATGTGATTCCATATGACCATATTAATCTCTTCAATTAGTTGACAGTCATTTAAATTTGTCTCTTGCTGTTTCAAGATAAACAAAACAAGTATGAGATTGCTTCAGTCAACAAATTAGACCAAAGAGCTAAGTCTACATACCCACATCTCTCAAAACAATTAAGAACTCAGACTCTGGCAAACCAAAGGCATTAGACGGCTCCTCTAAAACTGTGTACAAACTCCCACAGGGACAAAATTCCATAACTAGTACTTTGTGTCTAGTAGTTGTCTGAAAAAAAAAAAAATCAAAAAGAGATTAAGCATCTGACTATTGTGACAGCAATGTCAGAAAACACCTATAACCACAAGATCTTACTTTCAAAAAAGAAAAGTAAAATCTATAGTTATATCATAATTTCCATTCTGGTGATCTTCAAAAGAAGTGCAGGTGGATTTTTATATTGTTTCATGTATTCCAACTTGGAGAGGGGAAAATAACTAAGAAAGCCTCAAGTTCTACTCACTAGCAGGTTGACAGCATTATTGACAGGTGGACAAGTCGCACCACTAGTGCTGAGAATACGAACTGTCCTTCTTTACTCTTTACTCATCTCATCATCTCAGTCATTTCAACTCATCAGTTTCAGTTTCAGTTCAGATGCTCCAATTTATACTATTATACTACTGTATAATAGTATACTATGCCATCATTGTAGTTGGTTGCAAAGGAAAAGCATAAAATTGTCAGCAATACCGAAACACCTTCAACTATAAACAGTTCCATTATTCAACTATTAAATATTAATACATGTAAATACCTTAAAAATCCTAATTCAAGATAAAACTTAGGACAGTGGCTTCTCGAGATATACTTGAGCTTACACACTGAAGATGTTTCACCTACTGAAAGCAAGCATATTCTTTCTTACAGCAACAACAACAACAAAGAAGAAAGAAAACCAAAATATGGTGGTGGTTGAGTGGGAGTATTTGTATCATCATGTATGTTACCATTCTTTAAAAATGCAACTATACACTTTATAGTTGTGGATAAAACAAAAAAACAGTTACTGCAGTTACTCCCATGCATCTCAGATCACAAACACAATTACCTCTTCCTCAATGGCAAACAATTTGACAATGTTCTTATGATTTAGTTTCTTCAATACTTCAAATTCTCGCATCTGAACATCCACAGGACGAAGGAAACTTATACTGTTAAATACTTTGACAGCATATAAATCCCCAGTTTTCTGTTGAAAACAAACAAACCACTCATCAAACAGAAGCAAAAAATTGTAAACGTACACACAGACATTATCCAAGCATTTTCAAATTTTCTATTGTACATGTGAGTATAATCAGACTAGAAATACTTCAAAATACTACTTTGTGCTAAGGTGGAAATAAAGATTCTGCTAAAAAAATAAAATTGCACTAGTTTAATATAGCCTAAAAGCAAACAGACTAGCTGAATGGAAACTCATTAGGTCACAAAACACAAAGAGCTCTTAAAAAAAGAGAACTGTTAGTGTAACAAAGGCTACACATTTAAAAATTAATCCTAAACTTAGCTGAAAAATATTTTTTCAGCAAAAGTTACTTGCACTAATCAGTGAGAGGCAGGCACATACTTGGCTTGCTTAAGTTAAAAGACAATTTCCGGTAGCTGAATGTTGCTCTCTCTTTCTTTACTGTTTTGTTTATACTGATAAACCACTATTTTGTTTTTTTCAAAGGCAGTTTCGAGCACTACATGCCACTCATGTAAAATCCTGAAGCAGTTCAAACCCACATAGTAAGTGTCAGGAGCACAATCGTGAGCTTAATCAGATTTAAGTTCTCCAGAGGGACTAAGCCCCAACACAGTCATGCAACAACAGCACAAGCTGGAAGTGCAACTCCTGTCCCTCTTCAGGGCAAAGCATCTTCCCGTGTCCACTCTAGGAATAAGCTTGCACTAGCAGTTTGTGCAACATACTATTTCTAAGGACACAGCCTTCCTGTGCTAAGACAAGGTGTGCACCCACATGCACTACTGGTGCCCAGGTAAAAGCTTTCTCCGTTGACAATGAGCTGCAGGTCACAGGCTCACACTAGTGAGGGTGATGACAGGTGCAGCCATGGCTTACAGGGCAATCATTCTGTGCTGAAATTCACTTACCAGAAAAGCACACTAACTGCCAAACTATTGCTTAATGCTGTTTCACACTTAAATGTGGAACACAGAAACACTGTATCTTACAAATCACTTTGTACTGATTTCACAAAGACTATCATTACTGTAAGGCAACTTTCACAACTTATCTTTGATTTGTGATCTTTGCTAACAAAGCAAATGTAAGTATAGTTGTGAAAATTGCCTTACAGTAATGATAGTGTGTGTGAAATTTCACTTACTGTGAAATTTATAGGAATAAATGACTACAACAGTAAAGTCCTCTTAGTCCCTCACTCAGGTTGCAACATACACATCGGCGTATCATTTTCACAGAAAAAAATTACCATTTTGCACTGACTACTCAAGGCACGTCACTAAGAAGACATTTAAAAAGCACTGACTTACAGACAACAACTAACAACAGCTTCATCCACTACAATAACAATATTTCACATAAAACTATCATAAAAATCACCGAAACAGGTTTTAAAAGAACAGATAAAAACCAATGAAAGGACAGTTTAACAAAGGTATATATAATAGGATCATGTAATAGAAACTGGCAGGTCATTTGTTTCTATTCAAATTCTTGAATAAGGTTTCTTTTTTTCCATAAAAAATGAAGAAAAAGGAATGAAGAATTACTAACAGTTAATATTTTACAAGGAAAAATAATACAGTATTAAGAACAAATCCTTAGAAATCTAACTACAGAACTCTAGTTCAATGGACAAATATTAAAAATTAAAAACTAAGCATGAATAATTACACAGACACATTTGCTTTAGGCATAAATCTTTAACTTTTTTTGTTGATTTCATGATGCTACTTGCATATGAAAATTCCTCACAAACCTTCTGTCGCCCCCGGAAAACATTTGCAGTCGCTCCCTGTCCCAGAATGTCAGACAACAACCAGAGGTAATTTGAAGTGCTCTGCATCTTTGCTCTTTGATCAGAGAGTTTTCTTTTTCACCTTAAAAACAGAAGGTTCAATACACTGAATTATGATTTAGTAAAATACATGAAAGGGAGTAATTTAAATTAGAAGGAAATATAAATGTCCAAACCCCAACTCTAACTCCAAAGACATGGAGAATGAAGAACAACCAAGTAGAGAAATAAGAGGTGAAACATGGAAACAAAAATAAGCCAAACAATCAAAAGTAATGCCACTGACACAACACCTTTCTGAATTTAAGGTCTGTATTCCCCAAACTTTGTTTCAAAGACCAACTGGAAAGGTGAAAATCTTATAATCTTTTTACTGCTGTACATGGTGTTGAAATGATCAAGTAACAAAATATATAGAAAAGAGGCAAAAACACGTGCACAAGGTCTTGTAAAGGTAAGCAAGACCTGTAACTGAATTCCACTATTCTGTACATATGCCAAACAACAAACATTAGAGATGATGTCAGATATGCATACAGTACATCACTTTGGCTCTGGAAGTTGCATTTCAGTAGGACTGTAAAGGAGCTGGACTAACAACACATAAAAAACTACTTTTACAGGAGCTCCAAAAAAGCTACGATTGATGCAAGCATTTTCATCCACTAGCTAGAACCAGCAATTACTACTGAAAAAAATTAAGGGACGTTTCTCTCATTTCTGAAATTTCATATTGGGTATGTCGTATCTATGGAATTTCCCCACCCTTCCTGAAATATGAATTGCCAAATACTCAGACCTTTACAGATTCAAAAGAAAGCAGAAAAAAGTTTGATTAAATTAAGATTATTAACAAAAATTAGAACATTAGAACTGCCAGATTTTCCTGTTTGCCAAAACAGCAGGAGCTGCAGGTGAATACCCTTAACTTTTTGGTTTAATTAACACACTGATTTTGCCATTAAACCTAGCAAAAAGCTCTAAAATCAAAAATTAAGCTCCCCTAAAGAATCTCAAGAGCAAAATGGCAACTGGACGAGGGAAGCTCCTACTACAGGGGAGGTCTTTGCTCAGCTTGGCAGGGGACGCTGCATGTTACTGCATGTGATACCTGACAGGAAACTGCTGACTGATACTCAAAGAAAGAAGCCTTTCCTGTAACTGTTGAAGAAGAGGCACAACAGAATATTCTGCATCTGTTACCAGAAGGCGGGTGGCACTTTCTGAGAGCTCCCTGGAGCACAGGGGACACAGGAGCCTCTGAGCGCGCTGCTCTACCTGTAGCGACTGCAGATTGCACACTTGCCTTTAGCTGTTCGCTCATGTGACATGGGAAGCTTCTTGCAAAGCTGTCCCAAAACATCCAAGCAATGGCATGCAGCGTACAGAATGCAAAGACACAAAGCAAAGACCTGACATTGCTCCGCAGTTAATTGAGAGTCACGCAGCAATGCCATCTGCAAAATTTGACAAAGTTCTTAATGCCTCTGGAAGGGACAAAAGGTTTTATGTCAAATCTAGACAACAAAAAAAACCCCTAACTCCACATTCCCAACCTTGACAATTCTTGGTTAACTCGGACATAGCATAAGTTGACTTCTCCCATGGGGCAATTACTGTAGATGCCAATGAGCTATCTACAGTGCAGACAGAAGGTACGGAAGAGAGGATGCAAAGAAATAACACACAGCCTGCTCTGTAAACCATCTGTAAAATCTTCAAGTTAAAACACTCCTCTCATAATTAAACTCCTGCCTCTAACAGGCCAGCTGGAACATTACCAGTAAGCATGTATTTTGTGATTTACTTCAAAACAACATTCATGGACTCCTAGCAAGACACAGAAACATAACGAATCCTTTCTAATCAGACAGAAAGTGCACAGAAATTCTTCATCGAAATCTATTCAAATAAAAACAAAATTTAGTAGCCCATTAATAGACTGAACAATTACATTTCCCAAAATAATAAAGATGAAATAGCTTATGTATAAGATCAGCTCTAGTATTAATCCATAATTAAATATGCATAAAGGTAAATGGATGAAAAAACAAACGAACATGACTGCAACAGATGATCTTCAGTATCATTCAGTGGATATTAAGAATAACCCCAGACCAGAAAGTCATTTAATGGATTCTCAAGGTCTGGGGCTTTTTCACTCTTAAAACAAAATATAGATATAAATATAGCAATATTAATCCCAGGGTACATATTACTTGGCAAAACAAAGTCAGTATTGCACTATTACCCTTTTTTTGTTAAAAGAGTGCACTCTTTTTGGCAGTCTTCACTTTTAAGGTATAAAGTCTCATTCAGTTTTAACCTTCAAATTATAATAATTAGATCGAATAACATGTTAGGCCTCCTTTAATACTTTGTGTTCTCTGACAGTCATAACTGATCTTTGCTAAATACTCAGCATCTCAAGTTTTCATTTCTCCCACTATATTTCTAAATCAAGTTACTAAGGGTTTCCTATTAAAATAATAATAATAATAATGATAGTAAAAAAAAAATTAAAAGGCTCTAACTGTATGATTGACCTTGTCACTAGACTTAATGCTGAACTTGCTATTTCTTCACATTTCACTTATGGCCACGAAGTTTGGTATTAGATGAGTCAAAAGCTCCTCACATACACCTAGAGAAATCTCTCCAGCTAGCAGTTTATTATCCCCCATGACTCATTAGCATTTCAGGGGCTTGGGGGCTGCTTTTTAGGTGTTTTTTATTGAAGATTTTTCTGCTTCTGGTCATGCTATTACTCTTTTAATCTATCAGCAGAAGGGATCGTAATAAAAAAAGACTGCATTGCTAATGCAGTTTTTTTTTTAACTCCCAATGCTTTGAAGCAGGAGTACTGACTGCTCCTAACTCATATGAAGGAATTTTCTGCTACCTCAGGATAAGCACACAAAGCAGGGATGGCTCCCCTGTTGACAGCTGCAATATACAACTTCACCAGGCAAGCAGGGACAGATGATGAAGTTTAAGTGATGGCTCTTTCTGTTTACAGGCAAGATCCTATATGCCACCAAAGCCAACAGACAAGGTGCTGGGGGTCCAGATAAATGTTATTCACAGTCTGTTAACTATTAACGTTTTATACTTCCCTGTATGCTCTCTCTCAAGACTTAGAAAATAAGCTTTTCCCCCTGAAGCTCCGGCTTCCTACCCCTGCTTTCTTCAGCTATAACCTCCTTAGGGGGTTTCCAGTGCGACAGCTGGCACCTCAGCCATGGAAATACCCTGCCCTTGGCCACACAAGGTGCTGCTTGAACCCTAACATTCTTCCAAAGGCACACAAATCAAACGGCAAGCCTGGCTCCAGTGCTGCTCATCACCCCTACTCTAGGATTGTCCAATCCGTAATGCAGGTAGAGGACTCGGCCTGGCTGGGACTGCAGCTCCTGGAAAGCTGCGGAGGGCCACGTCCTCCTCTCGGCGGGGAGGGGGCAGGCACAGCACCGGGGCTCATCCCCACAGCAGGACGACAAACTTTAGCAACTCCTACAGCCACGAAGGCGACAGCGCTTCCTGAGTCACATTCACGGGGACAGAAGTCACCGAGACCGGGGCAAGGGCCGGGCCCCTGGCACGCCGCAGAGGCCACGGCCCGGCCGCGCCTCGTCCCGGCCACTGCACGGCCGGGCCCGCCGCTACCTCGGGGCGCGCCGCCGCCGCCCGCGACCCGGCAGCTCCCGCGAAGGCCCCGCCGCCGCCCCGGCAAGCCGAAACCATCGCGCCCGGCGGCTGCCGCCTCCCCTCGGCACCAGCGCGGTGGCGGCGAGGGCACGCGGCCGGCGCAGCCCACCTCGGTTCGGCCCGGCCCTCCGCGGCCACCCCCGAGCCCGCCCTCTTTCTCTGCTTCACTTGTTACAGGGCACTAAAGTATTTTCAAAGTTCTCCGTAGTGAAACTGAAAAATTGGTTACAACACACTAAGGTTTTTCCCAAGTTCTCCATAGTGAAATGGATACATTGATGCATTTATGGTCTTAATAGAAATGCTAAATTAATGTTCCCCATTTGTTGGCATCTGAACTTTGCTTTATAATGCTATATTGTAGTGGGGATAGTTCCCTACTACATTTGCGTTCTGTCCTTGTATCTTTCAAAACATCATGCCCAATTTAAGAATAGGAGAAAACAGACACAAAAAAGAAACTGCCATTGCAGTTTCATTCTAGATTTTTTTTTTTCTTTGCTTGCTCCCATTTCTTTTTAACATATGAGTAAAACTTTCAGTATTCCTCACCTCTCTTGTATTTGGATTCTCATTCATGTTCACAAATTCAGCAGTCTGTAGCTGCATAGGCCTGAAAGCTTATCAGTCTTTAGTCCTTACACCAGCTTGTAAATGAAAGGTACCACCTCTCTAGAAAAGGTGCCTCATCTTTAATTATGACTTGCAGTTGTGTTTCTCATTTAAACACTCCTTACAAGAGGAAATTTGCCTTATACACTAGAGGAGTTACCACCATGATGATGATTTTAAACCCCTTCAGTCTAGATACAGGACCATTTTGACAACAACAATGTTCAGTCATACAGGAAAGCTGCAGGTGGTTGTGTTTGGTGCAGCATTTAAATGAAATCTTTAGTTTGTCTGGAAAAGGATAAATTGTGATTGTCAAACCAGTCTCTCTATGGAGTGCTCTCATTTATCTCTTATTCCCCTTCTACCCCACAAGAAATATCACAGAGTCATAGAATGTGCTGAGTTGGAAGGGGCCTACCAAGGATCCTTGAGTTACAACTTCTGGCTCTGCACAAGACCATCCCTGAGAGTTACCATGTGCTTGAGTAGTTTTCATATTGTGTTCAAAGCATCCAAACACTGCCTGAAGAATCTAGTTCACACTCTTGAAAATAACCTGCTTGTAGTCAGAATCAGTAATTACATGTTAGGCTAAAGATACAAAACTAGCCCCCAAGTGCTGCTTTACAGCTCATGTTGCATAAGCCCTGATAGGACAGTATGCTGATTGAATGGTCAAAGCATACAAAAGTAAACAATCCTTTTTTAATTCTTCAAAGTGAACCAACTTACATTGTCTGAAGATCCAGACTACTCATC